CCTTCTTCCTAATCGAAACGTGTCTCTGTTTTCACCCATTGCCTCGTTTTACACCAGTGTGCTGGCTGCTACACCTGGATGATGCATTTGCAACACGTTGGTTCTTCTGCGGTCGTGGTCCACGCTCCCCAGGGGGAATACCGGCAGGCACCTCCTCGTGACCTACGCGTTAGATGAAAAGCATACCTGTGGGCAGGGACCGCAGAGCGGTTGCGAGGCTGGAGCCTCACGCCCGAGGCTTGTCTAGATGTCCTTGCGTGTTGCCATCTGGATGGGTGAACCTGAGATGCCCGTTGGAGAGCCGGGGCAAGCGGCATATGGGCTGTGGTCAGTCCAGCTTTCACTTGGTCTCAAAGACTTCCCAACCTCTCCATGGCTCTGGGTGGAGAGCCGTATTTTCAAGCTTTCTGCACTTTCACACTGGAGTCATCACCAAAGCATCAGAAAACACTGCATGCTAAGAGGTAGTTTGTGGCAAGCGTTGCTTATACGTCATTTTGCAAGCGATATCATACACAATAATTAGTACTGTGCCTTGCAGGAGAAATATCATTGCAGCTGGAAACGGTAATGTATGCGTTGGGCTGCTCCCACTCCATCTCCTGGGGAGAATTGCTGAAGAACACAATTAAACCTGCACGGTTTGGTGATAAGGGGCGGTGGGGCAGGTTCTCCAGTCCTGCTCGTGGCGTGGGCACCCCTGAGAATACCAAGTAAGCACTTTAGCTTCTCAGCAGGCCACATGATCTCAGAAAGCAGATAATAAACCCAAATATTCGTAGGTATGTGAATCCCCTCAGCTTGGCTCTCTGGTTTGCTCCTGCTGGTCTGCACCACAGTCATGTGCACCCATCGCTGTTTGGGAGGACCAAGCTGGCTCTCTCTGTGATGAAGCACAGCTGCAGTTTTGGGGCTTTTTGCCCCTTCACCTGCAGTTACATGCCCACCCCATGGGGCTTATGACGCTTACCTCTGCAAAGATGTAAAGAGCAGGTTTGGAGGGCGCAGAGGCCGGGGAGACTGGTCCCAGTAGCCTGCCACGGAAACCAGTTGCACTCAAGAGCCTCCCTGCGAGGCGCTGCAGCTCCTCCGGCACATGCAGCACTTCCAGGAGCAGTCCCTACAATTTATTTTGGGTTGCTCATGAAAATGTTTGGCACCCGGAGCTCACCCGTGCACGCTGACCTCGCAGAGGACCTTGCCCAGTGCTCCATCTCTCAGCAGGACACAAAAATTTGGAAGAGGAGGAGCCCGATACCTTCCACCAGTCTGCAAAGCTGCTAGTCCAGCACCAGAAACAAAAGTGAGAAGCCTTTCGCAACCGAGGTTGGGTATTATATGACTGGCCGGGCAGATTCTGGCATGCAGCCTCCTCTCTTAGGAAATCAAGCAGACTCTTTGTCTGCTTTCCAGCAGGAACTGCTGCTTTCATTGCCCGATACGGGGGAAACCGGCTGGAGAGCAAAGGGAAGCTTTTCTCGCAGACAGCCCCAGCCTCCGGGCGATGATTACAGGTTAAACCGAGAAGCGTGTGAGTCTCGGCTCACCTGCCCTGTTGTCTGCCTCGCGCTCCTTTTTCAACTCCCTCGTCCACGTTCATCAGCCGGTTTGAACCGTGTGGGAACCTGGTGGAGAGGGATGGGATGGTGCCCATGGTGGCATTTGGGCAGAGACATGCAGCAGGGAGGAGCGGTTATAAATAGATAGCTAAATAATAATTCCAATGTGGGAGTGCTAATGTAATGGGTATAGCATATTTAGGTTAAAATGTTTTAAGTAAATATGAATTAGATTGCAAACAATGAACGCGATTGGTTGGGTTCAGGTTTATGGTCACGCAAGCGCCGGTACTTCGGGGTTGTGATTTCCCTGGAGCACTCAAAGTCTTTGCACCATTTTTTCTTGCAGTGCCATCAGGGCTGACGTGGGGGTCAAAGAGCCTTGGGAAACGCTGTGTTCTTGCTGAAGCACCCACTCTGCTGCTTTGGGGTGCCTGGTGCTCGCGTGGGGCAGCTGTGGGTGGGGATGAAGCACCCTTTGAGAAATACATGGAAGATGTCACCGGTGGGTGAGGCCGTCGATGGCGGGACCCCAGGCAGCACGGTGCTTGCAGTGCAACCCTCGCTGTCAGCCTTCAGCAGCAGTTCAGTGCCCATGCCAGGCTAGGGAGAGCAAACCGGGCTCCTTGATCTCCTCCTGTCCCAGCGCGCAGGGGTCAGCAGCAGATAGCCGGTGCCTACACCCCAGGGAAGCTCCAGAGCCCCGCTCCAGCAGGCTAGAAACATAGGTATGATCAGGAACATGCAGAGGAACGGTGACATCTTTCTGATCCTCCTGGCTTTGGACTGTTTCACTGATGCAGGTGGCTGACAACCATCTGCGGGCATGGACTTGGACTCTGGTTCCCAGATAGCCAGCAGATCTGCCTGCTTGGCCATGCTCTGCTGCGCAGGGCCATGCCTGGGTTTGGTGAGCAGATTGTGGGCCTCCCCAACCCACATATCACAGGCAGAGGTTGAACTGCGGCCCATGGGACTGGTATCTCTTGGTGCTTCAGTGGAGCAGTAGAGCAGATGGTACCTGGATGGACGAGGTGGAGCACATGGTGCCCTGATGGAGCAGTGGAGCCTCAGTGGACAAGATGGAGCACATGCATTCTCCTTGTTCAGCCAAGTCACCTCAGATGAGGTCCAGGAGGGCAGCGTGGAGGTAGAAGGTGCCTGCCCAAGTCTGGGGGTAGGATGTAGTCTCTATTTTATCATAAGTAGGTAAGACTATTCCTCATTAGTCAAATATCCAAGCACTTGTCAGTGACATCTTCATCCTCACAACCACCTGTTGGGACACAAGCATGTCCCAACTCTGTGGGTGGGCAGCTGGGGCAAGGAAAGCCCAAGTGAAGTTACAGCCTTTCCCTGACCACGTATCCCTGGCAGAGAGCAGGATCATCAAGGAGACCACGGCAGAGGAAGGGCTGGAATTGGGCCACCATAGGTCCTTCCTAATCAATCCTAACTCCACTTTTCTTGCTTTAATTTTCAGGCTATGCTCTTCACTAAAGAATAGCAAAAATAGGAAAGATGAGTATAATATTTAATTTGCATCCCTGCTTCATGCCATGCTCACGACCTAAATACCCCAGAACTTAATTTCTGGACTACTGCCTGTTTATATTTGTCCCTAATGGATTTTTTTTTTCTTGTTGTTGGGTTTAAAATGATCTCAAGGGTTTTTTTGCAGCGAATCTGTGAACTGTTTGTGAGAATTTATCTCAGAGCATGCGGCTTGGGCTTAACTAACATTTTCCAAACAACTCAGCAGAAAGATAAACTGGGGGGGGGCTGTTGCATGTCTTCAAAACTCTGGCTGAACCTTTGGCTACTGTGAGATAAAAACCAATGGACCACATGCTCATCGAGATGTTGTAAACATCGTCTTCAGAGCAAACAAACTGCTGTCTGCTGAAAACAGAAGAGGGTGAAGAAAAAACTTTGAGACCAATGATAATTCCTTGAATTACCTCTTTTTTTCCTATTTTCCAGCAGTGGAGCCAGTAAACAAATAGGCATTTATTTGTTTAGGAAAGGAAACATGAAAAAATGAGAGTGGGAAGGAGAGATGATAAGGCTGAGAATCAGAACTGTGATTTTAACTAAAGGATGTGACTTTGGAGCACATTTAGTTACGCTGAGCATTTTTTATATGGGCAGTTTTAAATAGTCCAACCACTTTTCCAAAGTTTGCCTTTCCCTGATGCATTTCAGATACTAATGAAGCCAGTTTTCCCAATTTTTCTCCTTTTTCTCAGTGTTTAGTGCCTGCACTCAGCTCCCCACTGCACGCAGGGATTAGCCCAGGGCCAGCAGGGCTTGTTCAACCCACGGCGGTGGAGTGGAAGTGGCCGTAGCTTCAAGTGTTGCCAGCACTTGTAATTTTATCAGCCACCTCGTGGTACGCTGTTTTTCATAGCGCTCCAGCTCGCTTTGTTGGCTGATTGAGAATCTCAGTATTTTATCTACTCGAAAAACAACTAGAACAACTGTGCTTTCTCTTGTGGTTTTAGCAAAATACTTTGAAACGGCATCTTTGTGCACGTGACAAAGTCACAAAGATGAAAACAAAAACGGATATTTTTGATCTGGTTTCGAGGGGCTTTGCCCATGGTTTCAAGGTTTGTGGGGCGGGATGTGCTGAGCTCCTACGCTTTGCCATTGCTGGGTAAAGCCGTTGACCCTCACTGCATGCCCTGAGCCTGAACCAAGAAGAGCATCTTCCTTCACCATCCCATGCCGTGCACAGGAACGTTTTGGATCTCTCTCGAAAGTCGCTCGTGCTTACGAGCTCATGTTTGTAACGCAAAGTCCGTGGAAGGCAGAGTGGGGTTGGCGTTGCTGCACCTAAAACGCCATAGTTTCGCTGCAACCCATTGCGCTTGCACCGCTATGTAATCAGTCTAGAAGGAGACATATTAATTACAGTGTATTGGATGTAACGCTTTCCCATCAGGTAATTTTGTGGCTGTTAGAAGTGTCCCCACAGGGACGGAGAGGTTGGGTGGTGGGTGGCTGCAGAGCCCTTCCCTTCCAAACAGCCGCTCCCAGGGCTGTGCTGCTCGGTTGTTGTCGCCTGATGATGGTATTTAGTTGCTGTGTGTGTGAAACGAGTGTGTTTTCTCATTGCCTGCTGTGGCATAAAAAAAAGCAATGTAACCTAAATAAAATTTATTTTGAAAGTTGTTCATCCAAGTTCTCTATATTCTGCTCTGCTTGCTCGCTCTCAGCAGCGGATACGCTGGTGATACCCTTCACCCTGCATTTTGTCACTGTTTATCTTAATTTTTTGTGTTGATAATCTCTTTCCTCCCCTCTTTCTGATTTTCTGTCCTTTCCTCCTGGAAGTGGCAAAAGCCAAGCTGGACGGAGCGATGGAAGGAAGGTCGTAAGGGAGGAGGAGGAGGGGGTCATGCATTTCTCACCGCCTCTCTCTTCTCTCTTTTGCAGTTGTTGCAATCTCAGGATGTGAAGGAAGACGCTGTGCTTTGCTGCTCCATGGAGGTAGGGAAGCACCTGCACCACCCGCCCCCGTCCTCACTGCTTTGGCCCTTCTGTCCTTGGCTATGCATGTGTCAGGCAGCTACTCGATGTTTCCAGACACAAAGAGCCGTGTTGTCTCTTTGCATTATAGAGTCATGGAATCGTAGAACGGTTTGGGTGGGAAGGGACCTTTCCAGGCCATCCAGTCCAACCCCCTGCAGTGAGCAGGGACATCCCCAACCAGAGCAGGGTGCTCAGAGCCCCGTCCAGCCTGACCTGGGATGTTTCCAGGGATGGGGCATCCACCACCTCTCTGGGCAACCTGGGCCAGGGGTTCACCACCCTCACTGTGAAACATTTCTTCCTTCTATCTAGTCTGAATCTGCCCTCTTTTAGTTTAAAACCGTCACCCCTTGTCCTGTCGCTACAGGCCCTGCTAAAAAGCCTGTCCCCACCTTTCTCCTCAGCCCCTCTCAGCCCTGGCAGCTGCAGGAAGGTCTCCCCGGAGCCTTCTCTGCTCCAGGCTGACCCCCCCCAGCTCTCCCAGCCTGTCCTCCCAGCAGAGGGGTTCCAGCCCTCGGAGCGTTGCTGGGGCCTCCTCTGGCCCCGCTCCAGCAGGTCCGTGTCTCTCCTGTGCCGAGGGCTCCAGAGCTGGACGCAGCCCTGCAGGGGGGTCTCCCCAGAGCGGAGGAGATAAAAGACATCACTGTGAGACAAGAGATGACCCTTGAGACTCTTATCACTGGACTTTTGATGCATGCGAATGGATGCAAAAAGTTTGGCAGCTGGGGTTCCATCACAAAATTCTATTATCCTGGTTCCTTCAAATCTCACCTTGCATTTATTTTTTAAGCACAAACACACCTGTATTGGAGCAAAAGCTGCCCTGTGCCTCACATGGCGGGAGGTTTGCTGTGCTCAGCAGCAGCTTTGCTGAGAAATGCTGGTACAAATATGTCAGAGTTTTATTAGTTTCACGTTTGGGAAGCAATTGGCCTGTGGGGATGGATGCTTTCCTTGCAGAGAGCACTTGAAATTGTAGGCTCAGTGGTTGAAACTCAGCAAAGCGACAGGCAACCGAGGAGGAGTATTTGAATTTTTAAGGTTAGGACTTCGGGGAGCTCTGCGTTCAAGCCCCACGAGTCTTCCGTGATGGTGGACTCGTTGCTCTCTGCTCCAAGCTTGGACCTTCTCCTCTGTGGGACCATCTGGGGCTTATACTGCTCCACGGAGGCTCTCCGAGGAGTAATTGTTTTAAAAAACCCTTGGCTGTCCTTAGCGAAGCGGCACGACGGGTATAAATGCAGATCTCGGCAGGGAGGATTTGTTATGCATACAGGAGGGCTCTGCTTATTCTGATTAATGACTGGGAGTCGCTGGCAGCTGTGAATCAGCGAGTAAATGAAGGGCCAGGTAGAAGGCAGGAATACCACATCACAGCCTGCACTTTGTTTTGACAATAGCAGGATTTTTAGGTGGGATTCATTTTCTTTTTTTTTTTTTTTTTTTCAAAAGCAATCCAGCCTTGCCTCCTTTGAAGTCAGTGGGAGCCGAACCGTTCGCTCCTCCAGCAGCCCGGCGCGGATGCTTTTGAAAACCTCGCCCTTCACGGTCGGCTCTTGGAGCTTGCTGCCGGGTGGTTTTGGTTTTCAAAAGCCACAACGCCCTTAACCTTGCCTGCCCGCCCCGCCGCATCGAGCAGGGGAGGGCTGCAGGGGTGGAGGGTGTCTACGAAAGCCAGCACGGTTTTTTAATATCACAGAATCGTAGAATATCTCAAGTTGGAAGGGACCCCTAAGGATCAGTATGCCATGGTTGACCTCCTCTTCTCCCGACAGCTGCAGAGCACCGGCCGGCTGCTGGAGGAGCAGCTGCCCGAGATGATGACGGAGCTGTTGGCGATAGCACGCGACAAGATGCTGTGTCCCTCCGAGTCCATGCTGACGCGGTCCCTGCTGCTGGAGGTCATCGAGCTGCACGCCAACAACTGGAACCCCCTGACGCCCACCATCACGCAGTACTACAACAAGACCATCCAAAAACTGACGGCTTGAGGGGCAGGGCAAGGTGGGGTGGGAAGGGACGAGAAGAAGACATGCACCTTGACGGGATCCGGCGAGAGCTTTTCCGATTTAAATCCCCCAGCAGACCAAACCCCAGCATGCTCGAGAATACGTTCGTGGGGTGGGGAGGGAGAAGCATGTTTCTTTTTCAGCCGCGTCGCCAAGTGCCACCCCTCTTCCTCGCCGTGGTTTTGTTTTAGGGGTTTCTTTTTCTGAACTCATTGCTCAAGCAGCAGCAACGCATCCCGCCGGGTTATTGTTTAGCTTTCGAAAGAAGACGGAGAATTTGGGAAAAAAAAAAAAAAGAAAGAAAGAAAGAAAAAAAAAATCGAATCCGCGTGGGGGCTAGTATTGTTTTCACGCCGTCCTCCTGCCTTGCCCCGGCCAACTGGCAGGAGACAGCAGGCAGCAGATGTCTCGGGAGGACAAAGCCAGACACACACTACACCAGACGCTCATAATTGATGGCTTTTGTCGAGCGGGGCTTGCGTTAGGTTTTTCCCCCTCCTCTTGTCTTCGACTCTCTGTGTGTGTGTCCCCCCCCCGCCACCCCTTCGAAAGCGGATCGGAGAGCGGGACGACTTTCTTATTTGCACTGGGTTTTCTTTTTCTCGAGCGTTTGTATTTTCTTCTTATTTTATTGTATCATTGAACGGACAATTGCGAGCAGCTCGGAGACGGGGAAAGCAACGCCTTCCCGCGAGCTGACTAGTGGTTTACGTGAAGATGCTGAAGCAGAAGGAGTATTTTAAAGGAGTCCAAAAGCCACTGCAGAAGTAACATAGCCACCGTCGTCTTGCCAGTAACCTCCTCGATGGATTGAGAAACGTGTCCTCTGAGCTGGGAGCTCTAAGAAACGGGGGATTCTGCGGCTCTTGCTGTTCAAGTCGCCGTTAGCCCTCAGCCACTAATAACCTTTTTTTTTTTTTGTAATAATTTTCTTTTGTTTCCATTGAAGGAGTGCTTTATTGTAATTACTGTCATGGTTGTAATTATACATTTAAATCCAGGCCTGTTATAGTCAGGCCTAATAATGTACAGGGCAAGGGAGAAATGAAGGTTTGATATTCTTCTTTGGAGACCGGTAAAGAGAAGACAAGTGAGGTATGGCAAAAAGGAGGCAAATAGAAGAGGCAAAAATAGGAAAAGCCAAAAACAGAGGTTTTGAGCTTGGCATCTTACCAGCTGAATTGGCTATCCAGTGCGCGGTGTACAGGAGCGGCTCTCTCCCACAGTCGGTGTACGTGGCACTGTGTCCTCGAGGGATGGGTGACGTGTTTGGAGGGAGAGCGTTTGCTCTGGGATCCCCGCGTTGCTCCAGGATCCCCAGGTTGCTCCGTGCTGGAGCATCCCATGGGAGAGGGCGGCTGCAGGGGGTGATGGCGAGATGCCGCCTGGGCGAGGAGATGCCCGGAGCGGGAGGAGGCTGGTACAGAGGGACACACCACGCCGTTGCATCGCTCCCCGCATCATGAACAAGACTTGATGGTCTCCTTATTTGCTTGTCTAGTGATGCTTTTACCTACTAAATCACTTCTGGTGCTTATTGTGGTGAAGCCTAAAGGTGCGAGCTGCCCCGTCCCGTCGGCGCAGTGGAAGAGGGGCCAAGGAAGGCACGATGCCGGCAGCCCATCCCGTTTTCTTCCCATTATTCAATGTTCTTTCCTTTCCCAGTGATAAGAAGACGATGCCGTGGCGCCGGCATGCACGGACCCCGGACCAGGCAGGCTGGGTCTGAGCTCAGCAGCTGAAACCCATTTTTCCAAGCAAAACACTGATATTCTGGTGGCTTGTAGAGAAGAGAGATTTCACCTCAACGTCTTTGGGTGTGCAGTATGTTCTCGGGTGCCTTATGAATGTGTTGGTCTGTCCGCGATGGGGAGGAAGGTTTTGCTGCAAAATTTAAAAGGCAGAAATTTTCAGCAGAAAACGCATTGCAGGAGATTCGAGTCCTGATGCTGCGGTTTAATATTATTTGAATTTTCAGTTGGTTGTCTGCTGATGCGGTGTCTAATCCACACATGGAGCAAGAGGAGCGAGCTGGAAACGGGAGCTTCAGTTTTCAACGCAGAAAGCAGGAAAGTGATTGCTGGGTGCGCTGGACTTGTCTGGAAAAATTAATTTCTGCTTGGTGGATTTGAGCCGGGGAGCTTCGCGCGGAGACGGCGCCTTGCCTTGGGTCAGCTTCGTTAGCAGCAATAGGGTTTGATAGTATTAATGAGCAGCTGAACTTGATTAAGGCGGCAAAGCCCATCAGTATTATAAGGCTCAGGGTTGCGCCCGTTGCTCTTGGATTTGCCTGCTCCCCGATTTTTCAGGGAGCGGAGGAGAAGGGGATTTAACACCCATCGCAGCGCACCCAGGCACAGCATCAGTCTTCTGGGAGAAACCTGAAAACCAGTTTTGTCTTGTTTGTCTTTTTTTAACGAGCAGGAAAGTCCTGTACGGGGGCACAGCCTGATGGGTCGCGGTGCCAGAGATCGAGACCACCGCTCCGGCCCCTGCAGCTTCTCTTTTCCCCTTCCACCAGAATTTGCTCTGGGGTTATAGTGAAAGAAGAAAAAACAAAAAGACAAACTCAAGAGAACTGGAGATTTTGCTTCTAAAAACCTGAATTTTCACCCATCAGGAGGCATTCAGAGGCGAAGTGTAAAGCCACGTGGCCATATTTCCGCTTAAGCATTTCCCCAACCCTACCAGCCGTAAGGGTTTATTCAGTTTTGCCATCGGGGTGCAGTCCTGTGAGCCCCACCGACCGGGCTTGGCCCATGACCTTCCCCTCCGGGGATTCTCCCACTGAAGAACATTAACGTGAAATCCGTCGTTTTAATGTCTTGCCATTTATCTCTGCTATTGACGTACGTTCATCCAGCCATTAACCGCTTTGGTCCGTCAGTCGCTCCGTTGATACGTGAAAATCAAAACGTTGACCAAAAGTGGGGGTTTTTCCCCAAAATTACGTGCTGCCAGTGATATCTTTCTGAAGTCCATCAGTAGGAATCCAGCAGGCACATGGCATCATTAACCGTGGTACCGTGTTGGGAAAAGGAGGTACCACGAGGTCATTTGATGGGGAGCAGCGCTGGGAAGTTTTTGGGGTTCCTGGTGCGAGCACTTGGGGATGGCGTCACGTATTTTCTTCTTCTCTTTTTTTTTTTTTTTTGTGTCTTTCTTTAGAAACGGTCGCCAAAGAGTGTAATTCTACAACAATTTTTGAAGGTGCGAAGCCGCCGGCTACGTCTCCCCGAATTAGCCAGACTCGCTCTTCGCTGCTCAGTAGAAGTATCCGCGTGGGGTTTTAGTACGTTTTCCCCACGTGGCTACATCAGCAAAGGGGAAAATAACCTCCTCGGGCCAAATACGTGTGGGGCCAAACCTCGGTGTAAAGGTGTAAAGGCGAGCGTCTGAAGCATCTGCAGAGGAGCGATGCTCTGCACCACCGCCGTGCCGGTCCCCTCGGACTCCCCGGTGTCTAATTCACCTCATTCCCGGTGAAATTATTTCCAAACTGAAGAGTTTTTGCTACCTGCAAAGTGACTTGCTCGGTTTCCCCATGAGGAATTTCACCCCTGTTTGGAGAAGTCTTATGTATATGGATGTGAAACAAAAATGGGGGAAAAAAGGGAAAAGTAAGTGATTTGCTTCGTTCCCCTCTTCCCCCGAAGGAGATTAATTAGTATCTATTCTTGGCATGATTGATGGCTTTGAAGGAAAACTTGTCAGAATAACTTGTGATTTATTTTCATGCTTATTTTTATAACATCCCTCACTTGGAAGTCTCTCAAAATCTTAAATACGATTTTTTTTTTTTTTTTAATTTCCCCACTGGGTATTTTATGGCTTTACACTAATTTTGCTCTTTTTGGTGTTAGCTGTTAGCCAGTCCCGGTGATACTTTCAGTATTTTTTCAGGAGAAATGACACTAAGGGTTGCAAAGTCCGCCGTCGATAGCCAAGGGAGCTGCGGTGTCCTGCAGAACGCGGAGTTGAATGCTAGCGATTCTTTTTTTTTTTTTTAATGTATTTATTTGCATTTGAAAAAGCGACATTTTTAATTTAATCATATTTGTTAAACTAAGCGCTTTAAAATAAAAAATTGAAAAAATAAAAAAAAAAAGGAAAAAGGTTTTGGGGAGAATAAAGACTAGATATTCATACTAGAGAAAACACAAACTCATCGTTTTCAGCATTTCAGAGACTGTTAAAACAAGGGAGCTAATAACTCTTTGTGGCAATTCAGTCTTTGTTTATAGAACATCCAGACCCACTGTATGCTATAAAACGCATCATCTGAGTAATAAATGTTTAAAGCTTGACGTTTCCCCATCTCTCTGTGGGTACGCGCCGTCACCGGCGCTGCTCTGTGCGGGGTGGAAGAAGAGGAAGACGCGGGGGGAACCCCCACG